GTTTAATGTAATGCAACTAGTAAATGTTTTCTGGTTTTACCGAGAAATAACTGACATTTCAAAGAAAATGGCTAAAAATTGAGTGTTTTACTACAACTTGTATTTGCAATGAACATGATCTCATAATTTAGGTGCAAATAGTATTATTTTGATAGCAAGTTTAATCACGCTACATGTCGATAAAGCTCTATTGCATGAAATATACACGCAAAAGCATGTTGTTTTAGGCTATTAATACACTATCAATGGAATAGTTAAAGCAATCACATCAATTGCTCGCTAGTGACTAGAGTTTATAAATACGTTTTTGCCATAGTCTAATATTTTATGAAAATCATTATGTATGTATGTACATTGGCATAAAGGCCTATGTTATTTTCGGTTCATAAACTGTAATATATAATATGCAAAAAAATTATACTGTGTCAAAGAGAGATAAACCAATATAGAAATGCACTTTAGCAGTTATTGTATTATTTATTAGTCATCTATACTAATATTATAAAGAGGTAAAATTTGTGAGTTTGTAGATTGTGAGTTTGTTAGGTTGTAATCTCTGGATCTACTGAACCGATTTAGATGAAATTTGGTAAGAAGATAGTCTGAGACCCTGGGAACGACATAGGACACTTTTTATCCTTGAAATCATCCTTTAAGGGGGTGAAAATGGGGATGTAAGTTTGTATTGCGAATCAAACTAGGGAAGAACCCGAGCGAAGCGAGGGTGAGTCGCTAGTTTTATATAAAACTATCTTTTCGTATTATTTCGCGGGATTTATTTTTATTCTTAGTTCCCGACGTTTCGAATGCTTTACAGCAATCATGGAGAGTCTCTCCCGTGACCAAGATTGCTGTAAAGAATTCGAAACGTCGGGAACCAAAAATCAAAATAAATCCGCGAAATAATCCGAAAAGATAGTTTTATTTAAGCGTAGTGAATCAGTACGCATTATATTTTCCGCTAGTATGTATCTAACATATGTATATAGTAATATCATACAATGTGAAATTGGTACGATGTATTAATACGTTTAAAATTATGTTATGAATCCTACTCAGTATAAGAAGCAATTAAGAAATATCTGATGTTAGATTTTAAGAGGCTTTCCATTTGAACTTAATTTGAGTCTGTTACGAGCCTTATCATGTCATAGAGACTCACACGAACTGTGGTATACTTAAGTTTGACTCCTGACCTAGCGTGACCTACTTGTAAAGGTCAGATTTTATATCGAATTATGAAATTTAATTTTTTATTACATAAGCTTGCTTATTTTGCAATGAAAATGAAAACTGTCAAATAATCATTTTATTTTCGAAGAATTTCATTATATTTTATTTAAAATTGTAGGAGTGTATTATTAACATATTTAATATGTGTATTTATATACGACACGTTTGACTGTTTGTAGTGACCCTACTTCTGTGCCAGCGGTCGCGGGTTTGAATCCCGCTGAGGGTATTTATTTGTGTGATGAGTGGGATTGTTTGTACTTCAGTCAAGTGTTATATGTGTAGTGTAGCTAACCATGGAACTAGATGGTGCTGTGTGTTAATATCCCAACATATTTATTTATTTTTCTATATTAGTATAATAAGGGTTAGCTAATGTTTTTTTTCTATATTTTAATGATAAATTAAGCACTTTTTAATTATATCAGTGAGAAAACTTTGTTCTGTTAATTATGATAAAATTGCGAAAACACGACCTTAATACGTTCGTTAGTAACCGCAGTGGCGTACTAAAAGATATATAAAAAATGCCAAAGAACGCTAAGAAAATATAAATAGGGTATACATTTATAATTATTGTAGAGTATTTTTAAATATTTTCATAGACAGTATTTAGTTAGTGCACAAGTTGAGCGATGTTGAAAAATTAACAGGTCAGCGAGCGCCTATTTCTAGACGATTTTCGTTGACCTTGCATAAGCATTATTTCCCTAAGGATATGCAGAAAGTTGGCTTTAATATTAAAATTACATCCATATATTAAGTAAGCAGCCTTCTGAAAATTTTCTCCTTTCTTATTAAAGTAATTTATATGATATCACTTAATAATAATTAGTAATCGAGGCAAAATACACTCTGTTGATTTTATAATGTTACTGTATGTAAAACATTTATACATATAATTAAATTCTAACCGAGTCGAAGCTGTACATTAAATATTTTTTGGAATATCTTATTGAAATAGTCATTATTATCGATACAGAGGTCAAATCTGTATTTTTTAGATTTTTTATGTTTGTCTGTTTGTGAACGCATCACGAGGAAACCACTGAACAGATTTTGATGAAATTTGGTATGATGATAGCTGGTTATCTGGGTCAATACATAGGATACTTTTTAATGTGGGAAAATATCCCATCTCTGAGAAATCTATACTAAACGTTAGAACGTATAACTAACACAATGCTTATTTTGGCGTGACGATAAATAAAAAAAAATTAAAAACATCTGCCCATTTATAGTGCTTCGAAAATCTAAACACAATTTCTTTCAAAAGGAATTTGTCTGTTGAACCAGTAAAGGTGGCTAATAAACTCGAATTTCTCTCATACGTAAAATTCTTGCGTGCAGTCTTAAAATAAAAATACACGTGAGTCCGACCTTTTTAACAAAGCCACTAGAGCCTTTTTTATGGTTCATGGATTTCTAAACATACACTGGATTTTTTTTTAAACTATACTAGTAAATAATTTGCCTTTTAACTAATCGATTAACGTCATAAAAAAACATTGCCACAGTAGTTTTGGAGCTATGATGGAACATACGTAGATTTGTATATACATGGATTGTTAAAATCAGAACACACTAATTACTATACCTTGCTGTGGTCGGGTAAAAAGGTGCTTCGATTTCAACATCATTTTGATAATTATTTTATAAGTGATATGTTATTTAAAATTACACCTTATGTGGATACAAATATTTCATTTATTAAAAAGAATCATGTAATGTTCGTAATTGGCGAAGATATCGTGTAACGTACACCAAAAAAATATATTTAGTCCTAATATTGTCGTACATTCAAAGTATTATATTACTGATTACTCTTTTCTGTCTTGTTATTTTTAACCAACTTCAAAAAAATAGGTTATCAATTCGACATGTACCCATGTATGTAATATTATTGGAATATATTAATTATTAAGGCTTCCATATAATATTCATATCTTAAAGCGTTGTCTCAAAGAAATTGGCAAATAAAAGTGAAAATTGTATCATTGAAATTGCTTTTTTTCCTGAAAGAAAGGAAGAATTTTGAATGGTTAAAATTAAAATTTAAGATAATTCTTTATTAGAAAAGAAAAGCCGCAACAAAAAGCGAAATCTGTACAAAAACAAACTTTGAATCATTTCCTTGTTTCGTCTTACAAACGACTCAGCTTAATTAACTTATGTTTAAATTCCCCAAAGATTACAGTCGGGTTCGGTACTAAATGCAACTTGTTAAAGCTAAACACCCAGAAGCTTTTAACTTATTTAAGGTAATCAATCGGGCTAATGATTCTCAAATAGTAATTAAACAAAACTTATGTGATAAATTATGGCTTGATGAAAAGTTATATGTTTATCATATTACCGTTCATTTATCGCTTACTTTAATTTTTATGGTCTATGTCAGAATAAAAGAATAAAATAATATGTCCAGTTATATTATCTAAAAGCTTACAAATAAGTCAAGTAAAAAATCGGCAACAAAATGTTAGTCTAATTCTATATTTCGATTCGTTTTCATTATTATAATAAATTAATGTTTCTTACAATACTCGTTTATAACGAAAGTTGTTCGATACTAATCTTGAGAACGTCAAGAATAATAACTAAAAGTAAAAACTTGTAATGGCAGTGTTTCGTAAGTGGTGGGAAAGCTTTATTCTAGGAATCTTGATGTTAATTAATAATGTAGATGAAATCCTGCCAATTGACGTAGTAGTAGGGGAGCCCAAGAGGGGATTTTCTGTAGTTACTCGAGCGCGGCAGATTAACATAAACTTTATAGTCGATTTTTGCCTCTTCGGCTTGTGCAAATCGGCAGATTATTGAATTGGACACTTTTCAAGTATTTCTACCTTATCAAAACATTTTTTAAATATTTTAATCGGCTTCCCTAGACGCGCCCCTTTATATAGAAGACTTATATTACGGTGAAAGTACTCAATAGAGTGCAAGGTAACCTCTTTTATGTTAATCTGCCGCGCTCGAGTAACTACAGAAAATCCCCTCTTGGGCTCCCCTACTATAGATTCGTTTAGTTTGAATTGAATAATTGACAGCTTTAAGCCGTTTCAAGATCCGATAATTTCATTATCTCTAAATCTGACATTTTATCTTTCCTCATTTTTAGATATTCCACCTCCACTTACTTATTTGCCACTTTCAGATTTGACATAACTAGATAATTTTGCTTCATCTTGCTTTTTATTCATTTGACAAGGCCATTTCTTTTGAATATTAATTTGTCAAATTTTATAATAATGTAAGTAAGCAGATATTTGATATGAAAATTTAAAAATAGTAGACCCTGTTGAAGGTAATTTTTTTATTTTTTTGCATGCTACGTACAATCATTAAGTGTATATAGTACGAAATATAGAAGTTTATGTTATATCGAGGTGTTATAGGACTTTACAAATAATCACTACTAGGGCAATAAATAGTAAAAAATATATATTTAATTAGTGTATTATAAAGAATATATTGTGTTAGACATTTCTGTTTGTACATGATAAAATGAAAAATAAATATTTTATATATTTTCCTTGTAAATAAATATTCTGAAAACGCTCCGACGTAGCATGTAATGATGTAACGATGTTTATGCCGCGAGACATGCGTATTGATTATATATAGGTAATAGTATATTATGTATCTACTTCATGTGAAAATCGAATCTTCCACTTTTTGAATATATTTTCCTGATATAAAGCAATATTTTATAGTTGACACTTTTTATATAATAATAAGTTAATTTTATCCTTTTATTGTTACAGATTGGGGCCCTCAAAGGCTACTACCTTCTTTCGCATCATGAGGTGCACAAAAGATCGACAGAGCCAAGTCACAAACATCATCACAAATTAATTAACGAGCCCGAGGTAAATATGAGAAAAGACAAAATAAACCGATAAAATAACTTTTAATTTAAAGACCCACATTTCTGGGCAGTGGCCACCGCAAATATTTGCCAAAGTCATTACTGGCTCAACTCACACTGTTCGGCGAATTTTGTCTTGAAAGGCCACGATGTTCCGGACGAGAAGATATTGCGTAGCTTAACGATGTCCAGTCAAAATAGATTCGTTGATTGACCTCTTTCTGAAAGTTGGACGAGTTACAAACTAGGTAACTAGTTGTACAGTTTGTCCCAGGTGTATACATATTCGTCCACAACTTCGTCTTCGATTAAAACTACGAGTAGAGTGGATGCAACATGGACATTCGACGTAATTTTAGTCTTGTTCATATATATTATTAGACCAATTCGCTCAATAGCTTGATAAACTCAACATATGTAGGTCATCGAGCATCGTGACAAGGTCTGAGATGATCTTGGCCATAATCAAAAACGTTTATTTGCCGTATATTTTGATGTCTTATAGTCCGTTAGAGTAAAGGTCTTAAAAGATATCTTCCAAGACTTGTGGCAGACAGCTTCTGGGAGTGGTGGGGGAGCTCAGTAGTGTACTCGCGAAGCCAAGAAACGCACAGGAAGGTGGCCCGCTTCGGTGGGCGGTGGAAGGCGGCCTTCTTCGGTGGGCGGTGTACCATGCGTGTTGCTCCTGGTACTTCTCTGATAGCAGAGTGGACCGTGGAGCAACCCCATGGTTGTTGTGGTCTGCTTCGGCAGACCTGCCGTCGGGGCGTCGTAGTTGAATGCGTAAGCGATCCTGCGACGCCCCATTAAGACGGGGGAAGGTTTTGTTGGGTTTTAGTGGGTAGTACTGGCTTCGCCGGTGAGTCCCACACTTCGTGCGTAAATGCATTTCCCAACGTTAAAAAAAAAAAGACAGCTTCTGGGAAGTAATATCATGTCCCTGTTGCACTCCTTCCTGCAAGTCTTAAGTTTAAATCTATGTTTAAAAATAGAAATAAATGAATAATTGATTAAAGATTGTGTATGTATTCACCATGTTTTAAGATTAGTCATTATAAAATAATGTTTATTAAAGCAGGATTCTAAATCATTAATCTAGACATGTTATATTTTTTGAGGGTACAATTAATATTTAAAAATGGAATTTATTATTCAAAAAATAAAATTAACATTACGTTTAAGGCATACATAATGAAAATATGAAAATCGGCGTGAAGGAACGGTTAAAGTTATTTTGTACCAAAATAAGGATATATCTCATGAGATGTATGTACGTTATGAGACAAAAACATGACAGAATGAGGGTACGAGTTATTTGAAATGGCAAAAATATTAAGCGTGCGCAGGAAATTTTGTTAGAACTTAAAAAGATTAAAATAATAGAAACATTTTACCCTTTTAAGTGATTATGATACAGGTTTATAATAGCAGCTAAGGCTTTCAGTCTCGTTATATTTACGAGTCCCAGGGAAAAAAATTGAGACACGATACGGTCTCGTAATTCCGGGGAAAAAAGTAGACTTTCGAGACTATTCCAAAAATATATTTCATACTCATAGGCTAAGCATTTGGGCAGTCAATACTAGATATTTCAATAATGTTCTCCATTAATCATATTGTTACAAAGTCAAATTAACAATTATTATTTATGAGATTTTTTTTTCATTTTTACAGCAAGCAGTAAAAATCAAAGAAAGAGCATTTAATGGACTTTCAGACGAAAGAGAAACTGCTTACTTTTAAAAAAAAATCTCTCTGATTCTACGCTTGTAGAGGGCATAGATATTACTCGTAGATAGTTATAGCAATGGTTTAAGTAGGTATTTCCCTCCGTCGTCTTATCCCAAGTTTTACTTTACAGTGCTGCCACGTAACTTTGAATAAAAAAATACTGGTGGCTTAGTAGATTTTTGAATGATAATTGTTATTTTACTTAAGTCTCAAAAGTCTTGTTATTCCCGAGATTGGAGTTAGCAGTCTCTAGTCACAAAAATAGGAAAAAATCGTCTAGATTCGAAATTTTCGAGACCGTGACTCCCGGAATGAAAGCCCTAATAGCAGCATATTGAAATAAGATTTTATACCACCTTAGAATTAATGTAAAGTACATCTGTATTTTTAAAATTGTATATTGATAAAGTACCTCACTAACGAATAAAAATAAATTCTTTATTCTTCTATCCGAAATGCACGTATAAAAAGGAAATATCTCCCACTCACTGACTAATTATATTACGAATTCTTAAAAACTTCTAAAGCTTAGATCATGTTTATTCAGATGTATCTATTTGTGGAAATTTACAGTTAGGGGAGTAAAATGGGGATTGGGATGTTTAGATAGGGAATGAATTTTGTTTGAAGCTTCTATATTTGATGGAAAGCTGATGTAAAATTGAGTTCAGATATGGCTTTATAAAAATTTTGAGATTTAAAAAGACTTTTTATAACAATTTATAAAGATCATAATATGACCGAAGTTGTATACAACAACTGGTACCCAATACATAACATGTAGACTAAGAATCTATAAATATAATAAAAACGTGTTGCTGGTTGTTTGTAAGCCCACAAAACCATCTAAAAATCTTTTGTCTGTCTAATTATACCCGGTAGTACGCACGATTCGGTTGAAAGAGAATTTGGAACGAAGAGGGAAGCTTAAGGGCTTAAAAGGCAATAGGGTTTCCGTGCCATAGAAGATACAAGAGAAAAAAATGTACTAAATAACTTGATCAATATTAGCAATGCCGAATCATTAATATAATTATTATCATAACATCATCTGACGTCGATGCCTAAAACTGTTCGCCATTCCAACTAATTCCATTTGTCGTGTTATTATCACTGAATCTCTGAAACACATATAGATAAGTTATTACTTAGCTGAATTCGGATTATAGGCTTTCCCTTTGACACACAAACGCGTTTTCCAACAAAATAACATAGTAATCTGATCGTATATCAAATTGCAATGGGACATAGCTTAGTGTTAGCGAGATATTTGATAGCAGCAACAGCTAGAGCCTAATTGAAACATGTGTTAGACTGAGGTATGTCAGATTGATTGCAATCGTATACAATGTACGGTTTTGTAAATTAGCACTGATTTGTAATTATTTTAGTTGATGGGTTTTTAATTAAGTTTGTATGTATTGTATTCAGCCCTTTTTAACGTCCCACTGCTGGGCACGGGCCTCCCTCCAGTAGGAGGGGGATCAGGCCATAGTACACAACCCTGGCCAAGTGCGGGTTGGCGGATTTCACATGGCTTTTGAAAACTTGCTAGGTTCTCTCAGACATGCAGGTTTCCTCACGATGTTTTCCTTCTCCGTTGTGTATTATTAAATAACGGTGAGGAAAACAACGTTAATTAAGTATATTGATACTTAAATAGTTAGCGACTTTTAAGTCTCAAACGAAGAAGATTACAAGTTGATCACGTGAGGCAAACATTTTCCAATTTATTGGTTGTACAATGGATGTTTTTCTCGGTGATATATTGTTGCCACCCAACTTATCGGTTATTAATAGGAGAGTTTAGCTTGCTGTTGTAGTTTCACTCTGAAAGAAATGAAAAAGAATTCTTTATTGTATCGTTACAAAAAATATCTATTCATGTATATATTAAAATTCGGATAAGAAACTTTTTCATCTAGCGAGGGAGGCGTTGAGGAAAATAACTTATAAATATAGGCTCTGACCCGTGTCCCTCTGATAGGAAGGGATGACCGCGCAGTAAACTTTTTCATAACCTTTTAATAAAGAAACAATAGGTTTTCTGATTTGTTTGTTTCGCTTATGGAATAAGATGTTTTCTAGGCACGGACGGCGACTGATTTGTATGCAATATTTGAGGAGCAACCCTTACATATTAAAGTTGGAATATACGCTTGATCTTACAAGATAAATCTAACATTATTAGATACTGAAGTTAATTTGATTCGTCGTTAATATTAATGTCTTATAATATTTTTTTAGATTTGTGTTTAAAAGATAAATGGTTTCCGATATGCTGTTAGAGCTATTTTAAATTAAGTTGTTTACGTTAAGAGAACAACATAGGCATTAATACTTTCTTAGTATTAGGTGAATATTTGACATTTTAAATAAAACCATATTTTCGGATTTTTAAGCGGCTTTACTTTGATTTTTGGTTCTCTACGTTTCGAATGTTTTACAGCAATCATTGTCACGGGAGTAACTCAAATCTCTCAATCCCTCGGGGCAGAGAGGGAGACACTCGGTCAAAAATCCGAAAGCATTAAGTTCAAATTATTTAATACTTTAGTGATTTTGGCAGTCTATTATGTATTTAGTATATGAACTTAAAACATGTTTCGTTTCGTAAGATGAAAGGAAACTTTTAAAACTGTCTATATATAGAAAAAAAGATATCTACGTAAAATATTTGTAAACGAGGCATATTTGCTTGACGCCAAAATGTATATAATACGTGTGAAACGTGAGACTAACGCAAAACCCTCTAAAATAAGAATTTGTGTTGCTAAGCATATTAAGGCCTATCCTATATTGTCTTGTTATTTCGGTTCTATGTTAAACTCTTATAGCATTGAAAATTTGATGGTAAATTAGGTTTTTGAAGACACACAACCTTGCCGAGACGAAATTCACTAACATTTGCAATGTATGACAACTGTTTATAATATTTTATTTATAACTTTAACCTTTCGTAATCGTTCCTAAAACAAGTGTTGTCCTCTGTCATACTATAAAAATTTGGCGAAAATAAAGAAAATTTTATTCACAAACGTATATATATATATATATATATATATATATATATAATATGTCTGCCTGGGACAAATTTTACCGTCTGACCGGCAGAGTTCATGTTAAAAGCGACTGGAAGCCCAGCTAAATTCCGGAAAATCTTTTTGCCCACCTGTGGACGTCTCATCTGAGACGGTCTTTGATCCTCGCTTTTAGGGGACTGTATTATACATCGCTAGATTGTTTTAATGTCATCTTATTATCTGTATC